AGGGATCGCGTGATAATTATTTCCGTCTAAATACAGGTCCACCGGTCTATCGATATTATCGAAGGACTCCTTCGTAACGGAACTCCGATCGTCGCCATAATTAAGCCGATTATTGCTCAATAGGATCGCCAACTGTTTGTCGGACTGATTGCGACCAATAGTGAAAGCATTGGCACCAATATATGAGATCGAGTTGTTATACAGGGACAGGTCGTATAGATTAGCAAGGTTATTAAAAGCGTGCGACTCGATTTTCTGTAACGGACTATTTACGATCCATATTTGCTCAAGGTTAGGGTTATCGTTGAATGCCATTTTCGGTATTTCCCTGAGCACGGTTGAATTGTCTAAATGTAGCGTGGTCAAATTTTTGGCGCCACGAATCGCCGCAAATAAATCGTATTCATGAACACCATGGTCAATTATTGGTACGTTTATCATGGTCAATGACTTTAACCACGCACCAATGCTATCAAACGCGTTACGGTGTACGTATTTTAAATTACCGGTGCCATTGATGATGATCTCGCTAATTTCCAAGTCGTTGAACGTGTTATCGGCTAAATATGTGATAAATTGGTTGGTTATGGTTAGGGATGCAAATGCCTTTTCCGTGGGCTTTAGGTCCCGGCTAAGTCGTTGGAAAACAGCCTTTAAATCTACCGGTGCTCTGCCAGAGCATTCAATAGATGGACCATTGTTTTCGGTGCTTGCATAACATCGACATGGAGCATACATGTGCTGGGTACCTGGACATTGTAAGGCTATAACATATTTAACCAGCACAATTGTCCATACCAGTTGCGCTAACAAGCCTAACAAAATATAAAATAAAATAATTTATTAAATACAATTAATTAACACAGAATCATATAATATCCAGATGTATTGTTTATTTAAAATTATATATACAGTACATACTCATTTTGTGGCAAATATTTACTGAATAAAAAATTGTTATAATATATATTTTAGTAATTATAAAGTACATATTTACTTCTTTATATATAGTATTAGTAAACAGGATCTATTGAATGTGGTATTAATTGTGCAATCTTACTAATACATAATTTCTAACTAAATGCTTAAGTAATCAAGTATTATTGCCCTTAAAAAAGATCGCTTTACTAATCATCATGCACTAAAACTTAAATATATTAACCCCTAATATAAGTAGTACTGTATATATTGTTACGTTTGTTTACATTAGTGTTATATTAAATTAGAGATATTTATGATATTGTACGTTATTATAGATATAATAATCCATATTTGTGTTGTACATGATAATTTTTAATTTAATTTATCTGAATACTCCACTACATGTCATCAACTATTGTGTATCAGAGCATATATTTGTGTAATATATTATAAATGTTCACAAAGTACTTTATTAATCTAAATAAATCTTTTAACAGTGTAGGTTTTATTTTTTTATTAAGTGAATGTACTATTATTTTGATAAAAAGTACAGATATTACTCAATTAATATGAAATAGGTATACCATATAGCATAGATTAACATTCATGGGCTACAGAGCTCAGATACTAATACCAATAGCATTAGTATTTGTTGTAGATCAATAATTTTGTTAATGCATGCCATATAGACTAGCGGTAGACTAGTTTATGGTCGTACAAAAATTTTTTTAACTGCTATCATACTTATAGCACCCATACAAACTAAAAAAATTTTTTTTTAAGAAATTTAAAGTTTGTAAAAATATTTTCATCTGTTTAATGAAAATCACCAATTATATGATCAACGAAATGTTCATTATTTATTGACATTTATTTATTTAATAAAATTAAATCAATGAAACCTAATGTCAAATACTTTTAATAAAATAAAATACTACCTCCCTATTAAAAGTTACCTACATTTAGGTGTTGTATTATAAATTCAACTAACTTAAGTCATCAATAAAGTTTATTTGAATATTAACAAGGCCAAATATCGGAGCGTGAGTTTTTAATTTAGACACATAATGTATACTGTTTACAATAACAAATATCTGATTAACATTGACACAATATTTGTTATAACATTTTTTTACAATGATACAAATATTCGATAGAAATTCTGTAAACATAACTATTTTGTTTTCAAAATATTTTTATTTATAATAATATTACAAGAATATTATTTAAAAGGGTAATAATTATTAAATAATATATAATCTTAATAAGCTACTGGTATATTTTATGTATTAAATCGTAAAATTAGCAATCACAATTATAACAATATAATACACACCAAATACTTATAGGATATTTTTATATGTATGCCGGTGTGGCCCCATAGCTCGGGGCCGGGTATGTGTTAACGGGTTCTGTAAGACTACTATAGGCTGGTCGTCCGGTTACATACATTGCAGTGGACTGGTGTCGACGTCTGTGGAGGTCCCGGGCGTATAGGAAAGCCAGTGTCGTAATCATTACATTAACACCAAATGTAACCCAAAAGGTACCGACCCTTACAGCGCCACCTATACTGCCCCACGTCATCATAAACATGAGTATAGCGTAGGTCATAGTTAGACAGTAGTGCTCCTTATAGGCGCCCAAAAGGCCCAGTAATTCAAATAATATACATATTGAGCCTATGGTGGCGATTATAGCGATGGTTACTTTCTGCCCAAGGTAATACATAAATTATTAAAATATATAATATTTAATTTTCGTGTTAATTAATTTTGAAAATTTACATGATTTTAATAAAAATAATAATGTAATAAGTATTAAGTATTAAATTAATTTTTAAAGTAGCATGCTACTTGAACATACTTTAGCATTTTTAAAGTCTTGGTCTGAAATCTTTTTGTCATTATTTTGGGCAACACTTATAACGGCTGACAATGCGATCACTATAATCAGGGTACTAATGATACCAAACAAACAAAATGAAACTAGTGTCCACTTTTTGAACTGAAACGTACAAATTTTTGATTCATTTTCCATTATTGTATATAAATTAATCTAATACACTAAATAATAATAAATATTTTTTGTTTTAAAATTTATTTTTAATTTTTATAGTCTTTAACTAAAACTGTTTTTGTTTTACATTTTAATCAAACTACAAACTATTGTTTGTGTTTTATCATTGTATACACAACAGTGTAATAGGCAGTTATAATTGAAATTTAAGGGCATTTTGTAATAGTTTATATTTAGTCAGATTACTATAGTATAAATACAAAAAAGTGAATTTATTTGTGACTTATTTTATTTACCAAGTACCAACCAACACTGGGATATTTCATATTTGCAGCTGTATATGTTGTAAAAGTATTGTTATTTTATAAAATAAACAGTATATTTAATTATTATAAACATTCACATCTTTGTCGACAAAATCAAATAATCTTTAGGGACCTTCACTAAGTACGTAAGCTATTGGATTGTGACTGAAGTAGGTGGTTACTTTTCTTATTCAATGCAGTTAACCATCTTGTTGAATGACCCTTTACTATAATTACAAGCGTTAATTAATTTAATTAAATAATTATCTAACAATATATTCAGAATCTAACATTTCAATCATTTAGCAAATTTAATGACTAGCCTTACAAAATAAAAATTGTATTAAGTATTACTTTATTTGAACAATTTTTTTGGTTCTGTACTACAATTTTGTGAATTTAAATGTTAAAATAAATTCAATTAAAATATTTTAATTTAAAAATAGTTTAATTACACAGCTTATACGGGAGTTGGTTATTTGAAACAATTTATGCTATACTATATAAATACATGTAAATCAATTCACATACCTAGATTGAAATTTTATTTGAGCATTACCTTGAAAATTATAATATGAAATTATTAATTATAATATTCACTTTGGCAGTTTGCTATGGAAAACGCGTTTAAAAGTAATTTGCGATGATTGTTTTAACAATTTAGTAATAATATAATTTTATATTTTAGTTCAACGGTGTATAACAGTGATCAACCAAACAAACAATGTATAAGAAATTATCATGCGGAATGTATAATAGAGTGCGAGAAACCGTGCAAACAGAAAGTATCATGCTCACAATTGACAGACAATAAACAATACGGTGAGTTTGACAATTGTGTCATAAAATGTGCACAACCATGTATTGACGACAAGTGTGGGAAAGGACCTAATGAAAAGGACCAAGCTAATGGCAACCATACAATGTGACTAAAGTAACTGAATAAACTGAATGATGCTTTAATTTTAAATTTTTATTATATAATTATTGAATATAATATGAGTGAATAAATTTTATTTGTTTTTCAAAAACATTTTATTTGTATTCAAAATATTAGGTGAAACAGAAAGTCCTTGGAACAATTCATTTTAATATATCTCCCAAAGTACAAATGACAGAGAATATTGCTATATATAATTCATCGACATATTTACCCCTGCTAAGGGTAATAGCCCTCCAGCGGTCGGGTAGCATCGTTATCCCCTTCGAATCCTTCTTTTTGTCATTATTTTGGGCAACACTTATAACGGCTGACAATGCGATCACTATAATCAGGGTACTAATGATACCAAACAAACAAAATGAAACTAGTGTCCACTTTTTGAACT